GTCCCGTCCCGTCCCACCTCTGGGAAACACCAGCCGAAAGCTTTGCTGTAGAAGACAGAAATGAGGAGTTCTGGTGCCAGGCAAACCCCTTCTGAGGAGCTGAGAGCGCTCGGAGGAGGCTCGGGGGGGGTCTCGGTGGGTGGAGGTGGGGGGCCAGGGCTGGGCCCTCTGCCCCCAGCCAGCGCCCGGGGAAAAGGGAATTTAACGGGGCCGAGGAAGTGACCAATGCAAGTTTATAAAAGCTTTTATTTGCTCTTGGTACGACCAAGAATGGGACAGTGATCTTTTATACAATTTGATACAGTAAGTGGTACAAAAGAATGTGTTTTAAATAAAAAGCCAGAGTGGAGTAGCAAAAATATTAAAAGATTAAGTAAAAAATTGTAGGCATGGGAATTAATCCTAGACCTTAAGTTGATGCTGTTTTTCCACCGTCCGAGGCCGAGAGGAGGAAGCGCCGCTTTGCCCCCTGCCCCGCACCAGCAGCTCCCCGGGGCAGCGGCCCGACACGCGGGTAGGACAGGTCCAACCTCGGGGTTTAGTTTATCAGGACCAATTCAATCGAGTTACATTTTTTTGGGGTTGTTTTTTTTTGTTTTTTTTTTATTACCATGACATAAAGGTAGCGCCGAGTCCTCCGCAGCTGGCCGGGGTGGCTAAAGCCCAACCTAGGGCTGCTAAAGCCCAGCCTGGGGCTGCTAAAGCCCAGCCTGGGGCTGCTAAAGCCCAGCCTGGGGCTGGGAGTGGGGAAAGCTGCGTTCGCATCCTTTTCTAGGCTGGCCTTAGGCTTTATTCCACGCCCAGGGCTGGGGAGGGGGTGTCTTCCAAGTAGAGGTTTCACAAGCAGTTAGTTCGCTAGCTAGCAGGAAGTTTAGATACCAGCAGAAATAAAAGTACTGCAAATTCCTCCAACATGATTATTATGACTATATTTTTAATTTTTTAAACATTTTTCCTGTCTTTTAGCATCGACTCCTGTCACTCGCTCCTCCTCGGCTGGGCCTTGCACTCCACAACGCAAAAAACAAAGCCAAGCCCCGCGGTTCAAATTCATGGTTTTGATGTGAACAGAAGTAGACCGTCTAGAAATATTTCAGTTTATTAAGTGGGTCAGGAGAGGAGGAAGGGGAGGCGGTGGCTAGGAGCAGCGGCGAGGGGCCTGCTCTCTCTACCTGTTGGCTCGCAACGAACACAGCGTCTACAAAGGGATTTACACAGAGGGAGCCGAGCCCCCGGCAGCAAATAAAAAGCTCACGTTTAAAACAAGGATTATACAAAACAAACAAAAACAAACCCCAACCAACCAAAACCAAAACCAAACCACCTTGATGTCTATTTCTCCATTTTTCCCTTTTTTTTTGATCATGTTAGAAAGTGCAGGTTTAACCACAAGCAGCCGTCGCTCTCCGTACAGCGCCGGGCGCGAGGGAGGCGGCTGAGCCGCCCGTGCCCGCGGCCTGCCCGAGCCCGACGGCCGCTCCAGGGGGAAGGGTTAACACACACGGAGACAAAACTGCCAGAATACAGAGGGAAAGGGGAGACACCTCGGTTCGAGTCACTACAGGGGAAGCCGTTCAAAACTAGATGTTAAAACGCCGTCGTTTTGTTAAAATCAAATCAGCGTTATTTACTACTTTAATTCTTTACCGGAGACAGTCCGAAACCCAAGCGGACAAGAGCGAGGCACAAACTTGTCCAGCTTTAAGGGAGACCGTGAGGCCTGGGGAGGAAGAAGCATCTCTTTAGAATCTTTCGGTCCTCAGGGGGAGCAGCTCTCCGAGGGGGAGTTTGCAACGCAAGGCAAGAAGATACAAAGGCCCCCGCGGCCGCGCTCGCCCCTTCCCCGCTCCCTGCCGCAGGGGGGAAGCTGCAGGCACCGGGGCAGCCCCCACAGGCGGCTGGAAAAGCAAAATTAATCCCCGGGAGGGGGGGGCTCAGGAGCCCCCCCGGGATCCCCCACCGCATCCCCGCAGCGCGGGACCGGGAGCAAGGTCCCAGCGCCGCCGCCGTTACCACGGGGAAAATGGAAAGTTTGCAGGGAGGTAATAAATTAAACTGCCAACATTTTTTTTTTTCTCCCTTTTGGTGTTTTTTATGTTTGGTTTTTTTTTGTTTGTTTTTTTTTTTTAAATCTAGTTTCACTCAGCCTTTCGCTAGGCTACCGAACCACTGGTTGAGAGCGGCTAAGGGGAAGAGAGAACTTAAAAGTTCGTGTTAACTGCTGTCAGTTTGGGAACTGCATGTTATATTCATACACATAAAGTAGACAACCACATCACCCTCCATAGAAAACTAGTGCATGCAAATAACTCTTCCATATCATAAAACCCAACGGCTATGCAGGAGGAGAGAGAAGATATACTAGTGAACTGACATTGCCTAGAGGGAAATTAGTAGGTATCTTCAACATTTTTACCTTGAAAGCTAAATCAGTGCTTTGTATTAAATTTTTTTGGCAAACATACCACGTTGCCATCCTTTTAATTAACACATCACACCATGAAGAAATGCAAATTAAAAGCAGCATGCAGGCAAAAGGAAAGAGCTGCGAGTGAGGAGGGGGAAAAAAAATAAAATAAAATAAAAAAATGGCAGCAGGAACAGTTCTGAATGGCTCGATCACCAAAAAGGAGACACAGCAGATTAAATGTCTTTTTTTTTTTTTTTTCTTTTTTTTTTTGCACCACCCTTTGTCCTCGATGCATTACACCGACAATTACAGAAAGCAATCACAAAAGAGTTCAGTATTTTAAAATGGTCAAGTATGGATGGTAGGTCTCCTGCACATGCTTCCACCAGAAGAAGAGAAAAGAAAGAGAGAAAAAAAAAAAAAAAAG